TTTGGAAATTGCCCGTCCTACCAAAATTAAAAACTTTCGTCTGGCTTATCATGCACCAAAAACTATCCACAAAACACTACCTTCAACGAAAAGGCATTACACTAGATGACATTTGCCATAGTTATCACATTAATCAGGAACACATCAACCACCTTTTCTTTCAGTGTCCTACAATAACACATATCTGGCAACACTTGGGGCTGACATGGTTTACCACAACCATCACCACATCCTCTCCACTATAGGAATGGTTAAGGCAACTTATGAACATTAAGCTGAACAACATTCCCTACAATATTAACTTTACAACTTTTATTACTTACACACTGTGGAACATCTGGATTCGTGTAACAATCGAAACTTTAATAATAGCACACAAAAGTTACACATCAAATTAATTACTCAACAAGCTCTGAAATATACGTACCTAGCCACCAACATGGTAAGTCCCAAAATACCTAAAATAATACTTAAAAGTGGCTGCCTCCAAAACAAAATTCATTCAAATTAAATACTGATGGGACAATATCACCACACGCTCATAAAGCAAGTATAGGAGGGCTAATACGTGATGCGAATGGAAACTGGATCATAGGCTTCGCAGAAAATTCGGACACGGCAAGCATAATAAATACATAACTTAGGGCTCTATTTTAGGGGCTGGAATTGGCACACATGCATAACTTGATTCAAGTGGAAGTTAACGTTGATGCATACGAGGTAATAACACTACTCAAAAAAGATAACATAGCATATAATTATATACTCGATGACTGCAAGCACCTCTTGGACCACATATCTAGTGTTACAATTGCACACGCCTACAGGGAGGGAACCGAGGTGGCTGGTTGCTTGGCAAAAGCAGGCCGCAACATGAAAGCTGCAACCAATTTTACTATTTTTGTTAAATGTGGCTCATTTATTATTTTTGTTCGACTTTTCAGTTCTTTAACCCGTTGACGAATAATTGTAGTTCTTTATATATCAGGTAATTTGTGGTATAATATTGTTTCAGCAATAGTAATTTTTAGGCTTTAAATTGTCAATTATCCATTTTATTTTTCTAGGAGTTTCTGTCAAAGACCCCTATAAAAATAATTTATATTAAACAAAATTATCTTTTCATTATTTTCTTAATATTTTAGGACTTTAAAATAAATTAAAATTTATGAATCTAAATATAGTGATTGGATTTTATTTTATGCGAACATAATTTATTCTTTTTAATCTATCATAAATAATTCATATAATATTTCTTACTATTTATTAAAGAAAAATAGAATGTCTTCCATTAGTTAGCTGAACATGTTTGTGTCTTTTAGAATGAACTTGAAATTACTACCAAAAAAACTTGAAAATAAATTTTTAGAAGAAAAAAAATTAAAATTTTCAAATGTTATGTGTTCTCGCTGAAACTGAAAAGAAACGATAATTTGTGAATTGAGCTGATAAAGTTATAGAGGTGGAAATGAGTTTAAGTTGAACATGCAGAATGGTAATTCGGGAATTGTATAAGACAAATTATCTTTATTTATTAAGTTATTTATATTGGATCAACATTTTAATCTCAGAAGTTTAAACTTTTATTTTATAATTTTAATATGCTACTTATGTATGTTTTGAAAAAATAAAATTTTTATCCATCGAGCTAGGTACACGCGCAAAGCACGTAGCCTTAAATTAGTGACCTAAAAAAAATATATAGTCACCTTTATTGCTACACTAAATAAGCTGCTCTTATATTGAGGAAAATTTAACGTTTGATATTGTTGGGCTAAGTCGACCCAATAACATAGTGATACTGCGTTCTTTAGGTCAAGCTCGTCCGATTTTTTTTAAAAGACCTCATACCATTAAGAAATTCTTAAACTTTATGTATAAGCTTCCAATTTATTTAGCTATCAATGTGAGACTTTGTTCGCACATGCAACAATCTCTCTCTCGAACTAAGTTCCACGTAGCGCATTACCACGATCCACGGTTCTCCCCTCGAACCAGTTTTATGTGGCCCTTACCACAATCGAAATTCATTACTTGTCACCCATATTCTTAGAGTATTTATGGCAACAAAGCCCGCAACTAGCTTTTTTTGTGTGCGTGTCTCTAAGCTCGTAAGGGTAAGCAAACCGATCTCGGGACCATCACTCTGCCATCGTCATACTCGTCCCACTGAACCTGAGCTCTAATACCAATTGTTCAGCTCAATTAGCCTGAAGTGTTGTGATATTGTCCACTTAGGGTCAAGCTCGCACGGTTTTTCCTAAAAGGTCTCATACCATTAAAAATTCTTACACCTTATATAAAGGTTCATAATCTTTTTAATTACTAATGTGAAATTTATTCGCACACCCAATAAATATTATTTTTCAGTGAACGAGGTTTTCTTTTAAAAAAAATGGTCACTTCAATTTCACATAGCCATATATTCTTGATTTAATACTTTTTGTTTTTATATAATTCCTTCCCTTTAGTTCCCCTTTGTTGGAGTTGTTACTTCTTTAGTGATTTGAACTTCAACAACAACAACAACAACAATATCCCAGTATAATCCCACAAGTAAGGTCTGGGGAGGGTAGTATGTACGCAGACCTTACCCCAACCCCGAGGGGCAGAGAGGCTGTTTCCAGGAGACCCTCAGCTCAAGAAAGCATCAAGTGACGATATATTAGTACTACTGATAGACTCATAATATATTAACATAAAATACATAACATACATAAAAGAAATTAAAATAGCAAAATAACAACCATATAAGAGAATATAGGAAATACGAGAGAGATGGAAGGTAAACTAGTATCCACGTATAACGCCCTGCATAAGTAGCTAACCAGTAGTATCCTAAGCCTAGCTCCTAACAGGCTAGTCTCACTCTAGTGTGTTGTATAGATATTCACAACTTTTCCCTAACCTTCAACCTTAATGTTCAACCTCCACAATTCCCTGCCTAGGGCCATGTCCTCAGTAATCCTAAGTTGCACCATGTCTTGCTTGATCACCTCTCCCCAAACTTATTAGGTCTCCTTTTACCTCTCCTCGTACCCACCACCGCCAATCGCTCACACCTCCTCACAGGTGCATCAGTTCACCTCCTCTGAATGTGCCCGAACCATCTGAGTCGTGCTTCCCGCATCTTGTCCTCTATTGGGGCCACGCCCACCCTCTCTCGAATATCTTTGTTCCTAATATTATCCATCCTTGTATGCCCACACATCCACCTCAACATCCTCATATCTGCTACTTGCATCTTCTGGATGTGTAGGTTCTTAACCGGCCAACACTCGGTACCATACAACATGGCATGTCTAACTACTGCTCTATAAAACTTACCTTTTAGTAATGGTAGCACTTTCTTGTCACACAGGACTCCCGTCGCTAACTTCCACTTCAACCACCCACCCCTATATGGTGTGTGACATCCTCGTCGATCTCCCCGGCCCCCTGAATAACTAATCCAAGGTACATGAAACTATCCCTCTTAGGTATGACTTGAGATTCAAGCCTCACTTCTACTCCCTCGTCCGTCGCCTCATCCCCAAATTTGCACTCGAGGTATTCCATCTTCGACCTGCTCAATCTAAACCCTTTAGACTCAAGGGCCTGTCTCCAAACCTCTAGCCTCTCATTGATGCCACGTCAGGTCTCGTCAATTAGGACTATGTCATCAGCAAATAACATGCACCATGGCACCTCCCCTTGAATATTGTGTGTTATGGCATCCATCACCAGGGAAAATAGGAAAGGGCTGAATGCCGACCCTTAGTGCAATCCTGTAACAACCGAAAAATGCTCGGAGTCACCTCCTACTGTTCTAACCCGAGTCTTAGCTCCATCATACATGTCTTTAATTACCCTAATGTATGCAACCGGGACCCCTTTAGCCTCTAAGCAGCTCCATAAGACCTTCCTAGGTACCCTAATCTAGATCGATAAATACTATGTAAAGATCCTTCTTCTTATCCTTGTATTGTTCCACCATCCTCCTAATAAGGTGGATAGCTTCTGTGGTAGATCGCCCCGGCATGAACCCGAACTAGTTGTCTGAAATAGACACCGTCCTTCGCACTCTCATTTCAACCACTCTCTCCCAGACTTTCATGGTATGACTCAGTAATTTGATACCCCTATAGTTGTTACAGCTCTGGATATCACCTTTGTTCTTATACAACAGAACCATTGTACTCCACCTCCACTCTTCAGGCATCCTACTAGTCTTGAATATAATATTAAACAACCCAGTAAGTCATTCCAAGCCTGTTCTACCCACACCTCTCCAAAGTTCAACCGGAATTTCGTCTGGTCCGGTAGCTCTGCCCCTCCTCATCTTACGCATTGCCTCCATGAGCTCATCGACCTCAATGTCCCTACACTAACTTAATTCATGGGTGCTGTCTGCATTTCTCAATTCACCTAGTGTAATATCCTGATCCCCTTCTTCATTTAGAAGTATATGAAAGTAGGATTGCCATCTCCTTTTAATCTGGTCCTCCCCCATCAAAACTTTGTCGTCATCATCGTTTATGCATCTCACTTGGTCCAGATCCCGAGCCTCCCTCTCTCTCACCTTAGCGAGTCGGAATAACTTCTTCTCTCCGCCTTTGTTCCCTAGTTCCTCATACAGACGAGCAAAAGCTGATGCCTTAGCCTCTGTTACTGCCATCTTCGCCTCCTTCCTAGCAACCATATCTCTCTCTCTGTTTGCTATCTTCTCCTGCTCGCCAGTGCTCCCTACTAGTCGCAGGTAAGCCGCCTTCTTTGCTTCCACTTTACCTTGGACACCGACATTCCACCACCAGTCTCCTTTGAGGCCACCGGTGCGTCCAGAAGATACACCTAACACCTCTGTCGCCGCCTTCCTTATGCTGTCAGCCGTCGTCGACCACATAGTGTTTGCATCCCCACTACTTCTCCAAGCTCCCATTGCCGATAACCTTCCTGCCAACTCCTGAGCTTTATCCTCAGTCAAGGCGCCCCACCTAATCCTCGGGCGGCCTCGTACTGACCTCATCTTCCTCTTTATCGTAATACCAATGTCCATCACCAAAAGCCTATGTTGCGTTGCAAGGGTCTCACCTAGGATAACTTTGCAATCCTCGCACCACCTTCTGTCGCATCTACAGAGGAGGAGATAGTCAATCTGAGTCTTCGCCGCCGAACTTTGGTAATTAACCAAATGCTCCTCCCACTTCGGAAAACTTGAGTTTGCAATCATTAGATAGAATGCCTTGGCAAAGTCCAGCAGCGAAGTGCCCCCTCCGTTTCGTTCTCCAAAACCAAAGCCGTCATGCACCTCAGTATAACCACCTGCAGACGACCCAATATGACCATTGAAATCTCCTCCTATGAATAACCTCTCGGAAGGTGGAATGCTGCGAACGATGTCATCCAACCCCTCCCAAAATTGCCTTTTAATCTCCTCATCCAAGCCAACTTGCGGCGCGTACGCGCTAACGACATTTAAAGTACACTCACCTACCACCAATTTAATAGTCATTAGTCTATCATTCACCCTCCTGACCTCAACCACCGACTCTCTAAGATGGCTATCAACCAGGATACCTACTCCATTCTTACCCCTGTGGACTCCAGAGTACCACAACTTATACCATCCGCGTTTCTCGCCCTCGATCCAACCCACCTAGTCTCCTGGACACACGCTATATTAATCTTCCTCTTCTGGAGGATCTTTGCCAACTCTATGAACGTACTCGTCAGCGAACCTATGTTCCATGACCCGATTCTCAACCTATAGGCTCCCTTGCCCCTTCTACGTCCCCGGCCTCCCGTCCCACACCCTGACCCTAGCCAACCCACCTAGTGATTTGAACTTCCAACTCTAAAATTGTAGATGGGGTGCTGAACATCTAAGCAGCCTCTTTTGTCCAATGATTGGAACGAGGTCAATTATTATCTACCGATATTCTATACAAAGGAGATGGTGTTGTTTTTTATTAGCTAGTGCATGGCACAATCAATTGGTGAGATGCACGGAAGAGGAAAGAAAGAATATTTAGTTTATATTTTCCGTTTGGAAACCTAAGAATAAACTATTTGCAGGATACCCACTTGAGTTTTTGTGGCCATAAATTAATACCAGAGTTCTGTCAATCCAGTTCAGTGGGCCTGCTGACTTATATAATATTCTCGGATCAGAAATTCGAATGTTACAGTTGAAGCAACCCTTGGCGCAATTTCTTTTGAGCACGAGGCCTTTCCTTACAGGCCGACTAAGAATTTAAAAATTACGAGTTTACTTTTTTATTTAATTAAAGTCAGTTTTGTTTATATGGTGTACACTATTAATATATTACTATTTTCTAAAAACTTATATATGTATATACATGAAATTTTTGTCGAACTTTACAGCTGCTCGTGACCCTTCTACCTATTGCATAGGTCCGCCTCTGATTTCCATCTCCCTTTTATCTAGTAAAAAAGAGTGGTATCGTCCGGATCAGTTTACACGCATTTTCATTATTCTATCAAGCAATTGCAATCTTTTACTTACATATATATTGAGTAATTTTGCGCACCAGAACTTAAGCAAGTAATCAGAAGCGAAGTCGGGATTTAAAGTTTATGAATTCTGAACTTGTAATCGAACACATAGCTCGTTTTATACACAACAACAACAACAACAAAACTCAGTGTATTCCCGTAAATGGGATCTGAGAAAGGTAGTGTGTACGCAAACTTTACCACTATCTTATAGAGATAGAAAAAGTTATTTCCAATAGATCTTCAGCTCAAGGAACAGTGGAGATAAATCAACATTTAGGGTGTGTTTGGTATGAAGGAAAACATTTTTCGGAAAATATTTTTCAATTTTCCCATGTTTGGTTCTCTTAAATGTTTTGGAAAATATTTTCCTTATGAATTCATTTTCCTCCAATTGGAGGAAAATGTTTTCCTTATCAAGAGAAGGGAGAACATTTTCCAAAGCTCCTTCTTAACCTTCCCCACCCTCACCAACCCATCCCACCTCATCTCAAAAAAAGATTTTTTTCAAATTTCAGTTTTTCTGTTACCAGCCACCCTACAACCCCTCCACCCCCTCCCCCCGCAATTTTTGTTTTCTTTAATTTTTATTTTTGTAATTTCAAATTTCTGTTTTTTCATTTTTCTGCACCACCTACCACCCACCCCAACCCTCCCCCCCAAAAAAAAATTACATTTTTTTTGTAATTTAAATTTCTGTTTTTTTTTTCGTTTTACTGCCTCCCGTCCTGCCCCCTGCCTCTCCCCCTCGAAAAAGAATTTTAAATATATTTTTCAGTTTTAATTTTATTATTTATCGGTTTAAAGACTCAAAATTTTATAAGTTCCAAAATTATGAGTTCGGAGGTTATGTATTTGGAAGTTTACGAGTTCGAAATTTTGCGGTTTTTGAAAGTTTAGCGGTTCAAAAGTTTATAAAATTTATGGGTCCAGAAGGTTGTTGATTTGAAAGTTTATGGCTTCATGTCTATTATATCTTAATTATTTATGAATACTCTTGAAAAGTCATTTTCCTTAATTTGCGTACCAAACACAAAAAAATGAATAAAATTACTACTTGTTTTTCCAAAAAAATATTTTTTTGAAAAAACATTTTCCGTTATACCAAACACACGCTTAATCGATTTCAAATACAAACACAAAAGATTCTTCCAAAACCATAGCGAAATCATCTAGATTTTTGCTTTTGCTGGATTTCAAACTATTTTGCTATGATATTCATGTCACTTCATTGACCAGCGGTCACACGCACTACGAATATTCATCTTTAAAGCTAAACGAAAAACATTCACTATGTTGTTTACTTGGGTAACTAAATGATTCTCCCTTGCCAATTTGTCTTCTTACGTTGTCCAAGCGATATTCTTCCACGTCACACTGCCGACTCTAATATTGTATTCCATCCGTTATTTTTACTAATCCACTATATTAAAAATATATTTTTATTTTTAGTTGTTTATTTTAACAAATCTAAAATAAACTAAAAGTGACAACCTCTCCCCTCCAAAATCTAAAAATATTCTAAGCGTGCCTACCCAAGTGTGGTCGGCCTAAACATGCTATTAACGAATAATAAAGATAAGTAAATAAGAGAAACTAAAAGAAAATTCAATTCATGATCATGTTTTTTTAACTTATTATTTTCATGTATTTAGATCGAGTTCAATCCTGAAGCATGTAAACGAATTAAACACTAATGGGCTCCCATGACCAAACCTCGTTCATAGACAAACTCATACAAATGAACAAATATGAGGCATCCAAGACAGAAATACACACAATACTAAGGGCTAACAAGTAAAGACTAATGAAATAATAACATGAGACAATAGCACACAGGTGAATTAAAGTCGTGAAAACCCATTTGCACCCTGTCAACTCCTTAATGTTATATCTCTATTCGAAGATTTCAAACCAAACAAGCATCCATCACTGAAAATCGAGTCTTCACAATTCACTTTATTAAAAGAACGGAAAAGGGTCTAAACTATCCTTATCGTTTGCTAAATAGTTTACAGATACCCTCCGGTCATCTATACGGTCAAAAAAGCACATGACGTTAATTATACTAATAAAATTGCCCCCGCGTCTAACGACAAAATTTGTGGGCATTCAATTTTGTGATGTGCTAGTTTCTCATTGGGCCACGTGGCAATCTCGAGTTGAAACAAAAAATTGACCTTATTTTCTTACCTATGTCATACAATACATTAACTCATCCTACAAAACCCCATTTTAAAAATAGAACGACATTTCACTAAGATATTCATACTCAAGATTGTTTTTTGGAAAAATTGATGGAGGGAAAAACTAATTTATAATTCTGATTCCATCTTCACACCAACTGAAATCACAAATTGAGCACTAACACTTTTTCTCTTAAATTAGAATATTCATGCATTATAAATGCTTGCAATAGTGAGAAGATTCAAGATTTGAGAGACAAATTGATCAATTTTATGGAGGATTCAAGGGAAGGTGAGTGTTCCAAGCTTGCACAGTCTACCATGCGCTGGATAGTTCACTCGTACGAGGAGAAAGTAAAGGAGTTAGCAAAACGAGATGGCCAGTAGAATCTGTATACTAGTGAGTTTGCAAGGATTTTTTTTTGGCTTAAAAGAGATTTTAGAAGATTTTATTTTTTAGATATCTATGAGATACATTATTTATGCAGTTTGATAGCGTTCCACAGACAAGAAAACTGATATTTGGCCACAGAAGCGATGCTCTAATCGAAAACAAATTTGATCACTTATTAGGTGCTGGTCTTTCGAATCTTGTGTATGGATATCTTTGTGAAATTATGGGTTAATGTATTATCTTATGACCCAATAAAAAAAACCTTGGGTCGGATTAAGTGGGTCGGATTTTTTGTTTCAGCCGAGATTGCCACGTGACCCAGTAAGAAACTGCCACATTACTAAATTGAACGCTCCCAAATTCTGCCGTTAGATGCGGGGTAATTTTACTAATATAATTAATATCGTGTGCTTTTTTGGACGAATATGAGAACGAAGGGTATATGTAAACTATTTAGAAAACAATAGGGTAGTTTAGGCCCTTTGCCCTTAAAAGAAACATTCAGCAAGAAAACATCAAATAAATCTGACCCTAATAGCAAAGCCTTCTTTATACTTGTCTCTTTTACCAATCATTACCTCTGTTTTTCTTTTAAATATATAAAAAGAATTTTCAAGTTCATGATCACATGGTTTCTGCTAAATTTGGTTCAACAGAAAAAGAACGCATACTTAGTGGGCGTTTGGACATAAGAATTGTAAAATTCTAAAATCGGGGGGTGAAATTTTTTTTTTAAGTAAAATTGTTATTTAAAATTTAAAGTTGTGTTTGGACATGAATATAATTTTGAATTGTTTTTAAGTTATGTGAGTGATTTGAGTGAAAATTTTGAAAAACAATTTTTTTGAGTTTTTCAAATTTTCGAAAATTTCCAAAATATATCTTCAAGTGAACATTAAAAATTTTATGAACAAATGCTGATTTCGAAAAAAAATTAATATTTCTTTTTAAAAAAAGTAAAAATTTTTTATGTCCAATCGGGCTCTTAAACTAACACTAACCAGAAATATATTAAATCAATAACCAGAGAATGATGCACTGACTTAGTATGAATAAGAATTAGCACATAATTCTTAAAGCACCGAGATTAATGAGCATAGTGTGCGTCAATGAGCATAGTGCCCAGGTAGGAGTGGTAAACGGACGGATCAGGTCGGATATGGTTTGGGTAGAAAATAGGTAATGAAAAAAGGAATTTTTACATCTTATAACAAAGGTTAACACCTTATTTATAATAAATAAATACCATTTAAATAAATTATATTCTATAGATACCTTTAATTTTGGTTATCTCCTACACTTAAGCCACAATACATGTTCTTTCTCTCTCTTATTTTGATACACTCTATTCTCTTTCCCATTCACTATAAACTCGCCCAAAACCAGAGAAACTCTCAACCACACCGCTTCCTTCTT